AATTTTCTGAAATTTTTGTTTTTAATTAAATTAGTTATAAATTAATATACCTAGGCATAAGTTTAATACTAGATATGATAGTAACTGTAATTAACTTCCAAATGAGCTATAAACTGTTAATTAATAATCAGTAAATTAATTGCAATTAATAATTTAGTGAAATTGTTAATTACAATAGTCAAACAAAATGAAATTCAAAATTACATTTAACTTAAGTTCATTTTGGTTAATACAGCATTTAATCAACATCTATACTAAACATATAGAATATCAATTATAAATTATAAAATAAATAAAGTTGAATGCAAAATTAATCAAAATATGTGGAAATTTCCTAGAATCAGTAAAATTAACTAAAATTTTTATAAATTTCAGCCAAAATTGAAGAAAAGAAAATTTTCTAAAAATTTTTTTAAATTTTCCAAAAATTTTCCAAAAATTTTCCAAAAATTTTCCAAAAATTTTCCAAAAATTTTCCAAAAATTTTCTCGTTTCGAACGCTAGTTATTTGTAGTATACTATGCTGGTATAATAGTGTTTGAATATTTCATCTACAATTTTAAATTGATTTTAATTTTAAAAAGCATTAGTATACAATTAACACAGAATATTTAATAATTTATAATTATTAAACAATTAGCGATATAGCTTTTTGATTTAATACAATCAATAATAATGGTATAAAGTAATATAGAAATAATATTGAAAATAATCAACAATTTGGCAATATCATGTTATTACTAATATTAATATTAAAAACTTATTTTGTGCAAACTCATTTTATTTGTTTTAAACAATAATATTGAAATACCGGTAAGAGTTTGCATTGAAAATTAATTTCTTAACATTACATGATACTAATACAACTACATTGGTGAATTACTTGCAAATGTTCTACTGAATTTGTTTAAACAGGATCTTGTTAATATTTTGTAAACACTTTTTTGAAAAATCATTAAATGTGTGACTTGCAAAAACTGTGTATAAAAGTACATAGAGCAAACTATTCAATACTTATATGTTTTAAAAAGTTTAAAATAATTGTAGATTTATTAAACATCCCGTGAATTATGACATTATTGTTGGGGTCAGTGCTGGCACTGATTTGTCGGACATACGAGTGGTGTCTCATAGGACTCATTGTGGCGGTGATCGCCTATTACTACATGTAAGGCATAGTATAGTGTATATTAGATTTAATTAATAAATTTTATTTTATGTAAAACATAATAATTCGTGAATTTATTCATTCATTCATTGAGTTCGTGGAGGAATGCCTTTAGTTATTGGAAGGATCGACACATTTGTGGTCCAAAACCCGTCCCTATATTCGGAAACTTTTTGAGTTTATCCCTAAATCCTCGGCCATTACTGGAGTTGCAGTGGTATAAGAAATACGGAAAAATTTATGGGTAATTATGCCGTCAAAATAAAAACAAAATTTAATATATTTTTATAACATTTTTTGATTGTGTTTACAGATTATACTCATCAGCAAAGCCTATGCTAACAGTGGCCGACCCGCAGCTCATCAAACAAATTCTGGTCAAAGATTTCAATGCGTTTCGTAACCGACCCGCACCTTCCGGGCACGATAGGCTGACTTTGTCCAAAGCTAGGGATAATTACTGGAAGAGGCTCCGGGCGATAGTCAGCCCTACCTTTACGTCCGCAAAGTTGAGGGGAATGTATGCTCTGATCAGCCATTGCTGCGAAGACTTTCTCAATACCTTAGATAAGGATGTGTCGAATGGTATGAATGAAGTCGAGTTGAAGCAACTGATGGGCGCCTATACTATGGATGTGATCGCCAGCTGTGCCTTCGCTACGGAAATCAATTCATACGCCGATCCTAACAACCCGTTCACTATGAATGCCTTCAATTTCATCAATATTCCTGTTTGGAAAGGGATGTTATCATTGCTTTTGCCATCATTTATAGTTAACTCTAATATATACCGACGTGTAGTTAACGCCGGTATAACTGAAAAGAAATTTTTCGTAGATTTATCGCGAAGTTTACTAACGAAAAGGAGAGATAATAAAGAAAAACACAACGATTTTCTGCAGTTATTAATGAATGTCGAGAGACCTGAAGGAGACGTTCGAGAGGCCAGTGATGCCAATGAAGCACATGATGTGAATGAGGGTAAGGATGAGATCACAGCCGATGTCGAGGCCTTCACAGGAGTGTTGGAGAAGAAGTTGACTGAAGACGAGATATTAGCGCAATGTTTCCTCTTCTTCGTCGCCGGTTACGAGACAACTGCCTCTACTCTGTCCTTCTGTTCCTATGAGTTGGCACTCAATCCGGGACTTCAGGACAGACTCTATGAGGAGACCAAAGAGGCGTTCAATGAAAAGGGAGAAATCGATTACGAAGTCCTATCGGGGCTGCCATTCCTGGACGCACTCGTATCCGAAACTCTACGTAACTATTCACCGGTAGTTAGACTTGAGAGGGAAGCCATGGAAGACGTAATGTTAGGCAACACTGGAGTTAAGGTCGAGAAGGGAATGTCCGTCGAAATTCCTGTCTATGCCATACATCACGACCCCGACCACTATCCGGATCCATTTACCTTCAGCCCGGATAGGTTTATGCCCGATAACCGGGGTCACATCCAACCCTACACTTACCTGCCTTTCGGATCGGGTCCACGAAATTGCATTGGAATGCGATTCGCGTTATTGGAGGCAAAGCTCGCGTTAGCTGTGATCTCACATTCGTTCCGCTTCTCCAGAGTCACGGACACTGACGTCCCGGTAGTGTTCAATAAGGCTCAGCCGCCTTTCTGTCAGGCGAAGCGACTTGTAGTGGGCATTGAGAAGCGATAAGCTATGGTTTTACACAAACATATTTATACAGGGTGTACTAGTCATTTGTCCAATAAAAAATGCATAGGATTTAATGTAAATTTTATTTTTGGCAAATCGACCTCAATAATTATGAGTAATATTAGAGTATCAATTTTAATAATTTTATTATTAAGTACTACCACTTACATACTATATATATCGACCATTAAATATTCTTATTATTAAGGATGTAAAATTTTAACTCAAAACATATAATGATAATATCTTATTATACAAAGCCTATGAGCATATATCACATATTTTATGACATGAGTATAAATAGTTTGATAATGGGTCACAATATGCAGGAAATAATTACCTGGCTACTAATCTTATTATATCTACATAAAACATTAATGTTAATTTTTAATTGCCAAATTTGATCAAAACCGATATATTTAAATTTTCTCTGAAAAACTCATCAAGGTTTATATAATTTATTTGGCTAAGATACTATTTCCTAGGTCTTACATGTGCTTGTTAATTTGCACTTTAGCCGGCATAATTATCTGTATTAGTATAAGAGATATAAAAGTTTGAATTGTTGTGGTCAATCATCGGACA